TTAATTAATTGATCTTCACTGTAGAGTTAAAACCCTAAAAAGAAAATGAGTAAAACTATACAATGATCAATTTTAAAACGATCTGGGTTGTTTTCTTGTTTACATTTGTGGATTAACCAATTCATAATAGATACGCATAGCACAACCCCACTACAAACCATTATTCTTTCTATGAATAAAATCACAGGCTCATGTAACTATAACATGGATATCATGTCAATGGACACACACATAGTTTCTGTGAAGTGTAGGATCACTTTGAATCATGTGGTTGTTAATCCCAGAGCTTTACTACACAGAATCAAATGATGGTTTTATAAAATAATCATGTCAAAGAACAATGAAATATATTATACACCAATCTTTTGCTGATATATATAGTGATAGGAAGTGATTAATCCTTTTAAAGTTGTAGCTAGCGATTATCAATCAACATCAAACATTGTGACTGGACTTAAATTCAATGGCAATCTATTCAGATATATGAAATTCAAATAAATGAATTGAAGAAGAGCTCACTTTGAAAACTCTGAGATGGAAGATTATACCAATGTATAACTTTGGGCGGAATGCTTGGACTGGCTAGGTTTGTGGTTTATGAGAGTGCTTTTGCTTTGCATGAGAGAGAGAGAGAGAGAGAGAGAGTTTTCGGTGAGCGGTGTTGGAGTGATCAGGCACTTGTCAAAGATTTGGGAGCGGAGGGCAAATTTATGCTGGCACCTTCAGAGCAAATCTGTGATTCTCTACGCCACGACGTCGTATTAATTCGATTTCCACCTAATGCACGGTTTCAAATTTATGAAGAAGGGGCCGGGTATGGATGTTAACCGGGTCGGGTTTCAGAATTTGCACGATAATTCTATTTTTAAACTTACTACTATTTTAATAAATATATTTTGTATTTTACTTTATTTTTGCAATTTTGAGACCATCTATTTATATACTTTACCCTACTTTATCAATGCTTCACATACTTCTTTTATTAAAATCAAATTGAAATAAATATAATCGAGTTGGATAATTTTGTCATCTCTAAAACTAGGACTTTGACCCATTTAGGTTTTTTTATTTAAAAATTTAAATAATTAGACCAAAATGTAATTTATTGGGAAAATTAAGTTAAAGTGTGATTGCTATAAAAATTATTAATAATCACCCTTTTTTGCTTGAATGCGGGGAAAAATGATATCGTTCAAGTGAAAAAAATACACTTTTTATGATAAATTAAGTTAAATTATGGTTTCATTATTTACTTTTACAATAAAAAATATATAATTCTTTTCTTTACAAAATGAAATACAAAAAATAAATAAAAAAATAACAGATTTAAAATATATTTTCCAATAAATCAATTGCAATATACTTTTCTAGATACTATTCATTTGATGAGAATAAAAAAAAAAATTTGAAAATTCAAGTGGCTAAAACTGAAGCAACTATTTTCTAACTAACAAAAAAATTAATAATAACAAAAACAAAAAATGTATCTATAAACAGGCCCTTAACATTTTTGGATTTTAGCACAGAAAAAAAAAAAAAAAAATCATCGCGCCAACTAAGAGCTATAATGAGCATAATTTTCATAGGAGAAATACTACGCTGTTGGATTCATTTTGTTAATATTTGGGAACATATGTAAGAGCATAATCATTGTTCATTCAACTTTGTTTGAACATAGGGGATTTAGACCATAATTTCAACTTTTAATTTATTTTTTTTTAACAAAAACTATAAAAATAAATATAATTTAAAAGATTATATTACTCAAAATTATAATATCAAATCCACTTTTAACAAAATAATTATTAGGGTATTTGTCCAAATGTTTTTGTCGATTCCCTTCATTCCTTGTTTATTGTAATTTATAGTGACATAGGTGTTGTTTGGCATGAACGTTGGGTTGGTTTTTTAGCTAAATTAATCACGAAAAAATAAAATAAGTTAAAAAATTAATAAGACAAAATGTTATCTCCAAATCATAAACATTTTACTTTTTCTCTTACAAAAGTTAAAAAAATCAATCCAAACAAACTTTTTAACCGATGTTAAAATAACTAAAAAAATTAAAAAGCCAACCTAACTTTCCAAACGAAGCCATAATCCTTGTATTTGAGTCATATTTAGTTTCTTGTATAAATTAGTTGTCTCTATATTAACTATCTCTACCTTATTCTCTCCCCCTAACTCTTTCCTTGTATCATCGCTGTTTGACAATCCGTAAAAGTAGGTTGTGAATTCAAATTATGTTAGTCATAAGGTCTTGCTTTATTAAAGTAGAAAGAAAATTATAACCAAATTTTTTGAAATAGTTGATTTTTTTAGAAAATGTATGATGAAGCTGTGAGAATTAAAATAATTTTAATTCAGAAAGAAGAATATCTCCTGTCATGATATTCAAGCCTTTGAATCTTTACTCTTTAATGATCAAATCTTGAATGTATAAAAAACCCACTCACAGAACACTTTTACAGAACCATATGAGAAAAGTAAAAGGGACAGAGTTTCAAGCCTATTCTATTCGCAAAATAACATCTATGTTTGATGGCTATCACAGACATATATATAGATAGGCTTGGACCCATATCCAAGTGTAACTCCTTATAACTTCGCACCATCAGGAAAGTTGTATCACAGACATATATATAGATAGGCTTGGACCCATATCCAATGTAACTCCTTATAACTTCGCACCATCAGGAAAGTTGTAAAGTCCCATGAAACCACCATATGGATAGTGAACGGACATTAGTTACCCATTAGTCATTAAACCAATTAAATATATATAATATAAATAAATAAATAAAACAAACATGTGGCATATGGGCCACTTTATGGATGTTCTTACATTCTCCCACTTGGCACATATAACACACGTGTTGACTATCGGGTAACTAACAAACTGATAATGGCCATTAAATAAAAATACCCAAACCTTAGAGGTATAATACACGAATCATGGCGGTTATACTCTATCAATTAAGTATTTCCTTCCATGTATTACATTGTATCACACTCTCAATTTTATGTGGTGTCATTCTTTATGAATAACTTCTAATAAGTTATTCTAGGTCCAATAATCCCTATGGATCAATAGTCCCAATGGACTGCATAGCTTCACAAATACTTTAGGTGCACAAAATGATGCTTTTCACTAATAATAATCAAAATGTCATGACAAAACAAAATAAAACAGCAACTAGAAAAATTATTGAGCTAACCAATCAGTCTCATGCCCTCAACGTGTTTTGAAAACACCTTTACAGAAAGACCTTTGGTCATGAGATCTGCAATCATCATATCGGTACTAATATGCTCAATGCTGACTTATTGCTTCTTAACACGGTCTCGAATAGCAAGATACTTTATGTCAATATGCTTGCTTCGGCTACCACTTTTGTTGTTGTTAGAGAAGAAAACCGCAGCGAAATTATCATAGTAAACCTTTAATAGCCTAGAAATTGAATCCACAATTCGAAGCCCTGTGATAAAATACCTTAACCAAATAGCCTGTGAGGTTGCTTCAAAGCAGGCTATAAACTCTGCTTCCGTTGTTGACGATGCAATTATCGTCTTTTTGGCGCTCTTCCCTGAAATAGCACCGCCTGCTAGCAGATAAACATATCCTAAAGTGGATTTTCTGGAATCTTGACAACCCGCAAAATCCGAGTCTGAATATCCAACCACCTCAAGACAGTCAACATGCTTGTAAGTAAGCATGTAGTTCTTGGTTCCCTTTAAGTACCTCATGATTTTCTTTGCAGCTTTCCAATGTTCCATTCCTGAATAACTTTGGTATCTTCCAAGCATCCCAACTGCAAATGCAATGTCAGGTCGTGTACAAACCAAAGCATGCATTAAACTGCCTACGGCAGACGCATTGGGAATGCTAACCATTTGTTCCTTTTCCAAATCATTCTTCGGACATTGACTTAAACTGAATTTGTCACCCTTTAAAAGGGGTGCTGCATTAGGAGTGCAATCACTCATCTTGAATTTCTCCAAAACTCTTTCAATTTAGGCTTTATGAGATAGTCCTATCTCTGTGAATCTTTATGTCAATGACATAAGAAGCTTCACCCATATCCTTCATTTCAAAATTGTGAGAAAGAAATTGTTTAGTATTATGCAACAATCTCAAATCATTAGATGCAAGTAAAATGTCATCCACATATAGAACCAGAAAAATGTATTTGCTCCCACCAACCTTGAGGTATATACAGTTGTCCACAACATTCTTCGTAAAACCATATGAAGTAATAACATTGTGGAACTTTAAATACCACTGTTGGGAAGCTTGTTTTAGTTCATATATGGATTTCTTGAGCTTGCAAACTATGTGACTATCTTTATCAGAACAAAAACCTTCAGGTTGGTTCATGTATACTTCTTCCTCAAGATCTCCATTTAAAAATGTCGTTTTCACATCCATTTGTTGTAGCTCTAAATCAAAATGAGCTACTAATGCCATAATAATTTGAAATGAATCCTTCTTAGAAACCGGAGAAAATGTATTATGATAATCGATGCCTTCTCTTTGAGTGAAACCTTTAGCTACGAGTCTGGCTTTATATCGTTCGACATTGCCATTTGAGTCTTTCTTGGTCTTATAGACCCATTTACAGCCAATCACTTTAACTACTTTAGGCAACTCGACAATTTCCCAAACTTGATTCTTAGCCATAGATTCCAACTCTTCTTTCATGGCATCATGCCATAATTTAGAATCATCCCTATTCATGGCATTGGAAAATGAAATAGGATCATCTTTAGGTCCGATGTCAAAATTAGACTCCATTGAGTATACAAAATAATCACCAGAAAATTGCTGACTTTCTAGCTCGTGAGGATCTCCTTAATTCTGTAGTCTCAATTGGGACTTAAGCTATAGGCTCTATGTTCACTTGTTCCTCTTGTGGTAAAAGTTCTTGAATTTGTTGATTTTCAAGAATATCGGGTTGATTATCTTGAAAGACAACCAATTCACCTATATTCATGGTTGTTGTATTAGGATCCTGTGATTCCTTCCACTCTATATTTCGAGGGTAACTCCCATTAGAGTCAACTTCCTCCATAAACTTAGCATTTCCGGCTTCAACAATTCTAAGTGAATTTGAAGGACAATAAAATCTGTAACCCTTGGAGTTTTCCGCATAGCCTATGAAAAAACCACTAATTGTTCTGAGGTCCAATTTCTTTAAATGTGGGTTATACACCCTCACTTCAACTGGACACCCCCAAACGTGTAAGTGTCTTAAACTTGGCTTCCATTCTTTCCATAACTCAAACGGTGTTTTGGGAACAACCTTGGATGGAACCCTGTTTAAGATATATACAACGGTTTTCAAAGCTTCACTCCATAAATTTATAGACACATTAGAATAACTAAGCATGTTCCTTACCATGTCCATAAGTGTTCGGTTCCTTCTTTCAACAACACCATTTTGTTGTGGTGTGCCAGACATTGAATATTGTGCAATAATGCCTTCTTCCTTAAGGAACTTAGCAAATGGACCTGTTAATTGTCCCAATTCTGTGTACCTCCCATAATATTCTCCACCCCTGTCTGACCTCACAATTTTAATTTTCTTTTCTGTTTGTGTCTCTACCTCTGCTTTATAAACTTTAAAGGCATCAAGTACCTCGGCCTTATCAAACAAGAGGCAGAGATACATGTATCGTGCAAATTCATCAATAAATGAGATAAAATATCTCTGACCATTCAGACAAGGTGGAGTAAATGGTCCACATATATCAGTGTGTATGATTCCAAGAATTTCCTCACTCCTTTTGGCACCTGTACTAGTCTTGTTAGTCTACTTTCCCTTTATACAGTCCACACAAATACCAAAGTTGGTAAAATCAAGAATCGGAAGGACTTCATCATTAACTAACCTCTTTATTCTCTCAATGGAGATATGTCCCAATCTATTATGCCAAAGAATAGAGGAGGACTCATCAACAATATTACGCTTAATGCCAATATCACCATGCAAGGTTAAAAGATTTTGTTCAAAAACAGGATCCAGATTTATTTTGTGCAAACCATTAATTAAAGTACCAAATCCTAGAGAAACAGAGTCTTTAAACAAACTAAAATTTGCACCAACAAACTGAAATTCAAATCCAAACGGTACTAGTCTAGAAATAGAAATTAAGTTTTTTGAAAAAGATAGAATGTAAAATGCGTTTTCAAGATCCAAAACAAAGCCATTTTTTAAAATAAGTCGGAAAGTTCCAACAGTTTCGACTTGCGAACGCATCCCATTGCCCGAATAGATGCCTTGTTCACTTCCCGTCAGTTTCCTTAGGCCGAGGAAGCCCGGCATGGTATTAGCAATGTTAATTGTAGAACCCGAATCAATCCACCAATCATATTGATGAGTATTAACAAAATTAGATTCATAACACACAAGAGATATGAGATTACCTTTCTTCTCAAGCCATTTCTTATACTTGGGGCAGTCTTTCTTCATGTGACCCTTTTTCTTGCAGAAGAAGCATGCACCCTTATTGCCATGATTTTTAAACGGCACTTTACCAAGCTTCTTCCATTTCTGATCACCTTTGCCTTTTTTCCATTGCCCTCCTTTATGTGTTGCTAAATGAGCACTTTCCACTTTTCCATGCTTCAATCTCTCTTCCTCTTGAACACACATGGTCAAAAGTTCATTGATAGACCATTTTCCCTTCTATGTGTTGTAGGAAATTTGGAATGCTCCATATTCCATAGGAAGAGAATTGAGTATGAAATTGACAAGGAATGACTCAGAAATCTCAATCTCTAAGGACTTAAGACGAGCTGCAATGTCCCTCATTTCCATAATGTGCTCACGCACACTCCTAGAATTGTTATGCTTCATTCCTGATAGTTTGTTCATTAGGGTACTTGCTAATGCTTTGTCAGAACTAACAAATTGCTCTTCAATAGCCCTCATGTAGTTCTTGACCTTATCAGATGGTGGGATTGAGCCCCTAATGCTTTGGCTAATATGTGACTTTATAAGCATTAAGCTTAAGCGATTGGATCGCTCCCACTTATCATAAACACTCTTTTCTCCAGCGGAACTCTCGTCCGTGGGTTCAGGAGGTTCATTCACACGGAGTGCCAGATCGAGGTCCATGCATCCTAATGTTATAAGGATTTTGTCCTTCTAGTCCGAAAAATTATCACCGTTCAAGAATGGAATACGAGAAGACTCATTAGATAGTACAGAGGTAGAAATCGCTGCAATTACCAAGAACATTATTAATGCTTTGAAACAATAGCTATAGTCTGAATCAACCAATGTCAAATTCAGTAACAAATCTAAACCTTCCTGTGGGTAGAGGTCACTAAACTGTAATAGATTTGCTATTACTTTGTAATAAGACTAATAAGTTCCGAAATATGTAAGGAAAAGAAAACTCATACATGTGGGTTTAAAGTGTTCAATCCCTTTAATACCTAATCCATTATCTTATTCCAATTAAATTTCATAAATAATTACTTTCTTGTGGGACCAAGAAATTATTTATAAAACATAATTGCAATGCAAAAATGCCAAATTAATTTTTAACTTTATGTGATCAAAATACGGAGGATCACATCTCTATGTCTTAAGATGCTGCGGCTACTCTTAAAACAGAATACAGTTTTTAAATATGGCATAATTTATTAATGTGAGCAAATCCTTATAGTCGCAACAAATACATTATCTTTCAATGCACATAATGTATAATACATACAATCAGAGTAATATCACATGAAAAATCCCAAGACCAAACACATGTAACTCAACCTTATACTAGAATTTGCTTAAAAATTGGACCAAAATAAATTCCATATGCCTAACACATAGTGTATTCATACTCTTATTTCACATGAATTTTCAATGCATAAATAATTACTTTAATGCATGTAATATAATATTACATTATTTTAGATGACATGCCAATGAATCTCAAAAATTATAAAAACTAAAAGAACATGTTATAATTCACTATATGCGATTCAGTTGAATTTGCTTACTATTTAAACATGCAACGATAATAAACAAAACATCCTTAACAGCATGTTAAAATTTCTTTATGAAAATTCTAGAAATAAATTCAAGTCTTTCATGCCTTTTTAAAATAAACCAAATAAATCCAAATAAAATATGAGAATTTCTAGATTTTATACAGAATCAGATTAAATATTTTGCTCTTTAATGTGTATATCAAAAATAATAGTTAATGACACACAACAAGTCTCCTAAATAAAATAGATTCAGAGTAGGAGAAAATTCTAAATAAATGTAAATACCACTAGCACAAATCACGATGGACTCTACTATTGCAACAGTGCTTCCTTTTTCTTTAATAGTGATATTCAAAAGTTATGCAATATAAATTACTCATTTTGATTCTACAATGATTCTAAATTGTTAAATTTTATGGTGTGAATTAGATTCAGTACGCATCAAAACATTCAGTAAATTGTTGAATAAAACGTTCTACACTGTAAGATGCGGAAGTTTGATTTTATGTAGATGAAACAAATACTAAACAACATAATAGAAGGTTGGCTCTGATACCAATTATGAGAATTAAAATAATTTTAATTCAGAAAGAAGAATACCTCCTGCCATGATGTTCAAGCCTTTGAATCTTTATCCTTGAATGATCAAATCTTGAATGTATAAAAAACCCACTCACAGAACACTTTTACAGAACCATATGGGAAAAGTGAAAGGGACAGAGTTTTAAGCCTATTCTATTCACAAAACAACATCTATGTTTGATGGCTATCACATGCATATATATAGATAGGCTTGGACCCATATTCAAGTGTAACTCCTTATAACTTCGCACCATCAGGGAAGTTGTAAAGTCCCATGAAACCACCATATGGGATAGTGAACAGACATTAGTTACCCATTAGTCATTAAACTAATTAATTAGTCATTAAACCAATTAAATATATATAATATAAATAAATAAATAAATAAAACAAACATGTGGCATATGGACCACTTTATGGATATTCTTACAAGAGCTTCAACAGACTCAGGTCACTATGAGTTTGTGGCCCTGAAAAAATATATAGCATTGTCAATAGGCATCTCAAAGTATAAACAGAACCATAAATTGAGTATGACATTGTTAAATATCGTCACAAATCTTTAGGTAATCTTTTTTTTTTTTTTTGGGTATGCACCATTATTAATATTTGCCCTGCAATCATCTATTTAAAATCAAAGAAAATGTGAAATATAAGTTTAAGGTTTATTAAACACTCCAATCTTTCACAACATATACAAAAGTAAAGAGCTCCAGAAAAAAAAATGAAAAAAATAGACAAGATAGATAAAAACTAGACATGTAGATATAACAAAGAGAAACTGTAACACCCTGTCCCACATCGGAACTTTGCATGGGTGATCTTGGGCATATAAAGCACCACTACCTTGCTACTAAATAACTTGGACTTAAGCTTTTGGGTATTGTTGGTCGACCCACAAGTTATTTGGGCTAGCAAGTAGTAGGGCGTTACAAATGGTATCAGAGCCAACTCATGCACACAACCATGTAGGCCATTTATTCTGGGCTGACCACGAGCTTGTCGTGGTATTCTGATTGATTATAGACCCTCGCGAGGACGCGATGATGTATAAGTGGGGGAGTTTGTAACACCCTGTCCCACATCGGAATTTTGCATGGGTGATCTTGGGCATATAAAGCACCACTACCTTGCTACTAAATAACTTGGACTTAAGCTTTTGGGTATTGTTGGTCGACCCACAAGTTACTTGGGCCAACAAGTAGTAGGGCGTTACAGAAACACTACACAGATGTAGTGATGTGCACAAATTAACATAATTTTACGACTCTCAGCTTCATATAAATTTCCACTTCCTAGAACCTCTAACGATGCTGACTGTCATGGATTGGATGCTTGTCATCCTTTCAAGAAGCCAGCTCTATAAGGGATATTGCGTACCCCCATACATTATGCCCAAGGACTAACCCAGGTGATGTAATAGAGATCTACCCTGCCTGCCTTACGAATCACAAACTAATGCACTTGCTAAGTGCTTGGTGTAAAACTCACATACGTGACATGCTATCACCGCCAATCCCTACAGCCCTCGTTAGCGGGACATTTCCTTGTTTGCCTCTATGCTTGTCAGTTCCCCTACCCTTGGGAAACCCACCCCACGTAGACACCGCCCTTGGTGCGAACCCCACAATGAAGGTGCTTCGTGTAAGTCGCACGTAGCATCCCCATCACAGTGCCTCTAAGCTGGCTCTAATACCACTTGTCATGGACTGGGCGCTTGTCATCCTCTTGAGAAATGACCCAGTTTGGAATCTTCGAGCATATCTGACCTTTTTTGCCCCTAGTTCAAGGGCTACTTCTCATCTAGCTATGCAAGCTTCTTTTGATCACATCTGACCTTCTTGCCCCTAGTTCAAGAGCTGCTTCCAATTCAGCCATGCAAGCCTTATATTATGGTTGATCGTTGATCATTCTGAATCAAAGCGTGAAAGCAAAGGGGTTAAGTCTTGAGGCCGAGGTGATCCTATGCTGTACAATCTCAATATCAATTCCAAGCATGTCTTCATAGGACCACGCAAAACATTTTTTGAAATCTTTTACTAAAGTGACTAAAGTGGCCAAATTTTGCACAATTGGCCGGCCGCAAAAATCTGCTTCCAGGCCCAATTTCAAATGGGCATATCTCCTTCATTCGAACTCGGTTTTAGGTCATTATTGAGTCTAAATTGAAGCCCCAGACGTCTACTTTTCAATGGTGGTGGCCTCACATATAAATTCTAAGTGTGAAAAGAGATATATCTATTTTAGTGAAGGCTACTCATTTTTGTCCTAACGGATTGATGCCTAACTTCCTCCTCAACTAGTTTTCTTCCATTCCCTTCTATTTCCCTAAACTCCAAACTTATAAATAAGATGCTTTTAAAGATTTTTCAAAGATTTCACCTCTCTTCCATTTATTTCCACTTTGTTCTTACTCTTTTTACCAAAAAGTGCAATATTTTAAACGAAATGCGAGCTTCAGAACAACATAGAAACATTTGCAAAAATATTTTGAAAAAAAAGGATTTTAAGGTCTAAAATAGTTTTGGTCAAAATAGGGTGTAAGGTTGGGATTTAGAAGCTCTTCTTGCGGAAGAAGTCGAACATTTGCACAGCATAACTTTCATCATCGAGTGATCAATCAGTGGCGCCCAAGTCCTAAGGGTTGTAAAAAATGGGGTGTGATACCCCTGTCCCGTAATATGTTAATTGGTCCTTAACCTAAGTATGATTATGTGTTTAATATGATTTTGTGTGCCATTATGTGAAAATATGTGGTTTTGAATTTCTATCTGTTCACCGTAGGAATATCTGTTTGACTGTCTACTTTGAAAATTAAATTGAAGGCTTTATCGGCCACAGAACCCGGAATTGATTACGTCATTGTGATTAGTGTGATTTTTAGAGCCTACAGTGAAATTTAATTGAAAACTGATTCGAACCAAATTAAGTTGATTAAATTATTGAATTAGTGCCCAATTATTTATTATTATTAAATTAAGTTAGTGGGAATTGTTGTAAAAGGGGCACCACACCTCAATTCTCCTATTTTGTTGCATCTTGGCTGATTTTTGACTCTAAGAGTAGAGAGAGGGTTGGCTAGAGAGGGTAAGAGGAGAAAAGTTGTGTTTGGCTCAAGTTTGTGGAGAATTGGAAGATTAAACCCAAGATTTTGCTATAGATTGGGAGAATTAAGCTCCTAGGTGAGTATCTCATGGATTCTAGTTTGTAATTTTGTGTGTTCAAGCTAATTGGGTAATCAAGAGTAAGTTTGACATGAAATTGGGTTAGTTTTGTTGAATTGAAGGTCAATGTATGCATGCATGTGTGTAGTTGTCTTGAATTTGCATATTTTGGCTTGAATTACATGACTCATGTTGAATATTGGTTGAAATCCATGTGTTTGACCATCTTTTCATTATATGGGATGAGAATGAGGGTTATATGTCACATGCATGTATAATCTATGGGAGTAGAAGCTTTGAATGCATGAAGTTGCTATGTTAATAATGAATTTGGTGGAGAATAAGCCATGCATGGGTTTGATTTATGAAATTGAGC